CTGACTAGATTACATCATCATACAGATAATGACGTCATGACTAACGAAACAAACTATACAATCAGCTCAGCGACGCACACTGACTAGATTACATCATCATACAGGTAATGACGTCAAGACTAACAACACAAACTATACAATCAGCTCAGCGACGTGGACTGACTAGATTACATCATCATACAGATAATGACGTAATGACTAACGACACAAACAATACAATCAGCCCAGCGACGTGCACTGACTATATAACATCATCATACAGATAAAGACGTCATGACTAACGACACAAACAATACAATCAGCCCAGCGACGTGCACTGGCTAGATTACATCATCATACAGATAATGACGTCATGACTAACGACACAAACTATACAATCAGACCAGCGACTCGCACTGACTAGATTACATCATCATACAGATAATGACGTCATGACCAACGTTACAAACTATACAATCTGCCCAGCGACGCACACTGACTAGATTACATCATCATACAGATAATGACGTCATGACTAACGACACAAACTATACAATCAGCTCAGCGACTCGCACTGACTAGATTACATCATCATACAGATAATAACGTCATGACTAACGACACAAACTATTAAATCAGCTCAGCGACGCGCACTGACTAGATTACATCATCATACAGATAATGACGTCATGACTAACGATACAAACATCGTCATACAGATAATGGCGTCATGACTAACTAAACAAACTGTATAACCAGAACAGTGTGTCTTTTCTTTGATTTAATATGTAATTTTTAATCTCTGATTCCATATAGTGGACTAGGACTAGATTATAAAGGAGGCTGATGACGTAATAGTGTTCAATTTTGATAACTGCTTATTTGCGTAGCGTAGCGAATTGAATAGATTATGACGTCATGCTGGGTAAACCCTCCACTCATGAATTTGGCTAAGTACGAAACTATTCAATTTTTTTAATTTAACCTACCAGAATACATTCAACAAATTAATGTAAAATCAGATACATTTGAAAGTAAATCCTCTTTGAGAAATTTTAGGAACATAATTGGGTAGTTTCTCATTCTCTTAATAGATATTTGTTTTGGTTCAACTAATATCGTTTTTCAAAATAATATTATTTGGTTTTACGAGCATACTTAATTCACATTACATTATTTTCACTTTTGTTCCATTCGTGTTAATGTGAATATAAAATACACAAACCACATAATTTTTATAAGACTAATAAATAAAATAAATAAATAAAACAACGGGATATACATGTTATGCCATTTAATCATGGTTATGATTATGCACAGTAATCTATGATGTATGTGTCCGAACTTAGAGTTTACCCCTGAATTCCATTAAAATTGCCTTTTATATTAAAGATGTAACATATTTTATGGTAGAGTTTATATACAAATGTCAAAACCTTTATAAGGAAAATATGAAAAACCGCTAGTGCACGCCATATTTTTATCCACGTTACAATATAAATACAAGTCAAGTTATGCAGTATATCTAAAAATAATGTTTAATAAAAACAATTAAAACGTCATCAAAAGTAATGGATTCTCTTAAAAATACAGTAACGATTTTGTGTCGTGAGGTGAGCGCTTCGAAAATAAAAATGAATGGAATTAATACAGAAACTCCGTGCAAGCCCAATAACTCAAATTGTAATTGGTGTCACATAAGTATCGGTTTTCGATTGATCAGAAGCGAGGAGGGCGAGGGGGGAGGGGGTGTTGAAATGATTGTGAGAGGATTTGGTTGGTAGATGGTTATTCTGAAACTTTTACCACTGTTTGCACAGTTTATATCCATTATCCACCCATGATGATGCTGATGGTGAAACTTATATACCTGATATTTATTACAAATTGTGCTTAAACGTTAGAAATTACCAAAAGTTATTTTACAAATATGATTATCTCCTGGCGAGATCAGAGCTTTTAAAAGTACACCGATAAAGGAATTTGACAATTGAAACATAAATTACGAATGTGGAATACTATTATGAGTGTGAAATGTTATGGAAGACATTTATTAACTCACTAAAACTATTTATCTAGTTACAGAGAACGTATATAATTCGTTCCTGTAGTCAAGTAGGACTAATACCTCAAAACACTATATGATAAAGCAGCATTAAATGGATAAAGTTAATAAATAAAATATTTGTATTATCACATCCTAGGGAAATATTGCTTTTTCATCAGGAAATTAGAAGAATAACCTAATAAAAACCCTAAAAGTAGAGTAAACAATTATTCAAACTGTGAGCCATCACTAGTTAATTAAAAATAATAATTAAATAAATGTAATATAATTAGTTGATAAAAAATAATAAATATGCCACCATTTTGTTTCTACAAGGGTTAGGGAGTTGACATTTTTCCAGAAAATCTTTATAACCTACTTTATAAGTTGTGTAAAGTTTTGAAAATTTCGGTCTATAAAGGACAAGAAATTTGAGCGTTTAAAATCTCTTCGTGGGGCAAACTGTATATAATTTTATGCTAACCAAAATATTTCTCTAAGGATATCTCTTTCGTTTTTGATACGAGTACAAAATAGTTAAGTTCGATTAAAAACATAATTAAACATGTGTACATATAACATTACACTGTCAGTACAAGTTTAATAAATAAACATGAACATTAGTAATTATCAAAACTGTCACTACAAATCTTTACATGATTGATCCGATTAAATAATGGTAAAAGTAATAATTATTATTGTTATTTTATATACAGTTCTGTTTATGTGCAAGTCGGCCTGACTAGTGCTGCTATCTACTGGCGCAGTTGTTAACCACGACGTTACCCTGACTAAACGCAGTACATTGATACTTGAAACCGTGTGAAACTCTGCATAATCAATAATGCTACACACAAACTGAGTGCTGCAACAGCAATCTTTTGACCAATATAATATAAAATTTACGTTATGCGAAAAGGGATAGATAATTATAATGGGGAACTTTAAAATAGAAAAGTACCAAATTAATTGTAACACAAAGATTTTAGCTATTGGTTTTCTTCTAATAAATAATTCTTTTACATATGTTTGGCTTTGAAACGTGCTAAGACGTGTTAGAAGAAACAATTTCGTGTTACAAATGTTGTATTCGAAGCAAATCAAGAATGTGGAAGAGAAGATAAGACCGTTTTCATGTTTGAGTGCTTAATTAGTGCTTAAGTACCTTATAGACTACAAAGTATGCAAATAATCTCTGATTGTGAAGGTGAAAAAGTGTATTGAAAAATATTGAAAACTACAAGGCCTTACTCGTCGAGTAAGGTGTTTGTAAAACTAAACAATGTAAAATATTTTACCGAACTAAAAATTAAAGTTTATTTAAGTTACATTAGAAGTAAATGAGTGAAATAAAACTCATGCTTTGTAATTTCAGAAATTCAGGCAAAAAGCAGACCGTTATAACTGCTAAACGTAAAAATTTGCTAGTTTGAAATCAAATGATGGAACACTACTTATGCTAAATGAAGCAGAATCATCTAGTTTCTAAAAACATGAACTAAAACTAAACAAATAACTACTAAGCTTCATGGAGTAACAGAAAAAGCAGCTACACTACAGGGTGAGATGGGTGGATTATGCAGATGTAGAAACTGTATGCAAACAGGTAAACTTATTTTACTGCGAAGATTTCTTATTTACCTAGAGTATGGTTATTTACACACTTTTATTTAATCAATCACTTATAAAATAAGTTAACTTATAACTAGATTATTAATACTCAAAGGTTTTTCTGTTTACAATGCAGTAGTGCGTTTATGTAGGTACTTGTAGTTTAAGTATTTGTAGTTTAAGTCACAACATAAATAGATTGTGTTTCACACTTTCTATTATATTTATGATTCAGTCTTTAATAAGGAGGCATTTAAAAGTATTTAGGTAATCATTTTATTGAGAATGAATACAGTTTGTGTCTTCATTTTAGTGGATGTTCTGGAATTCACAACACATTTAGAAGAACTCCTTATGGATTTGTAAGATATTCTTGATCTCTTGAACAGTCTAGAATAGCTCAATCCACAACTCAGAAAAGCACACATACTTTATAGAATCGAAAGTTATGCATTTTTACCCAGTTATCTTTATTTAAAAGTAACATTTTTCAAATGTAAACCTATTTGAGTCAGAAGCTTAATTTAAAACAAAAGTATTCATATTGAACCAAATTATTATTTTTTTTTACAAAGCTATAATTATTTACTTAAGTAAAACTAACGTGAATTTTGTATGGTTTTATAATTCATTCAATCAGTTCATCTTATAATGATAATGTAGATTATAGTGATGATGAAGATTTGCTTTACTAAAGCAGCTTTGCTTAAATTAGTCACCAGTTATGAAATTGTATTGATACTTTTTTTTAGAGTTTATAAGGTTTTTTACTATAACTTAAACAGTATAAAATCCAATTATTCATTTGTTCATGATAAAGACATCATTCAAATAAATAACTGCAAAATTGTCATATGTAATATGAAATTTATCTTCTTATTCAGTTCTTGAACAACTATTAATAAATATATGACTCTTTAAAATACTAGAAATAGTTAGTTATTATTTTTGTAATTATAAGTATATTCATTTGTTTTCAACCAAGAATGCATTATTAAGGTTTATATTTTATAATTAGACAATAATACGGTAAGCTTTACATTCATTACTTACAACAGTCATAATTGATTGATTATATTAAAATACCTCTTAGTTCGTAACACATAACATTACATAAAACATGTATATTTTTTTAACTTCTTTTAGAGCTTATTAATTACTTTTTAATATTTATCCATTATTTTAACTTTAATAGTTTTAATGTTCTCAATTTATTCTTACCAACAACGACCCAATCAGGAAAACCTACGAAGCCGGGCTAGAGGAGGTAAAGATCAAACATAGACAGTCATCGGAACACATCTAAAATTGGAAGCAGAAGAAAGTTGGGGATTGGGGAGACTGGGGAATAAAAACTACTCACTTAAGTTGGAGCCATCTGGAAAAGAAAGTTTGGTCAGATAACAAATTCGAAGGTAAACTTATCCTACTATTGTCTAAATCTAGAGGTGATCTTCGATCTGGTTGAATTGTTGAGAAAAAAGTCTATCCTCAAATGTTTTCTACTACTGTGTGACTTTGTGATGCATTTGATTACTTTTATTTTGTTAAATCTTTCTAGGTTAAGGTGTGTGGGTATAAATGGTAAGACACTATAGGAAATCTAACTTATACAACTTAAACGACGTATCATAGGTTCAAGAGTAATTTAGGCTAATTCATTACAGGGTAATGCTAAAGCACTGCTATTTTTTATTTTAGTAGGAACAAAGATAGAAGAACTTTGACTGAAGCAATTTGGTAACACCGGAATCTCTTTGTTTATTCAGAAAAGAAGGTTAAATTATTTTATGTATCGTCAAGTGATGTAAACGTGTAGTCGAACTTTTGTGGTGCCGAAGATCAGAATTTTTTTTATTTTCAAGTCCACGAAAATATCATGGGCAGTCAATCATTTAACAGTCTTGGGTGTAAAGAGTTTTCACAAAACACACACATACAATACATTTCAACGGCTACACACACGTGACGTCCTAAAAGTGTTATAATTTCCACACAAATTTTTATAATGTTTTTTTACATATGTGAGTTCCGTACGACGTGTGTCTGAGTGATAATGCAATGGTGCAATAATGCAATTTGCAATGTATTCAACTGCAATGTGTGTTTGATTAATTAAAAGTGTCTATCAATATTATACAAATTAGGTCAGACAAACATGTTTAGTGTCTGAGGTCGAAACTAGTTGCTGCATTATTACACAGATAGATTGCACAAACAAGTTATTTTGATTCCAATCCAATCCTTTCGCGCGTTTCAGTGCCATCGTTGTCATGGAAATGAAAAAATTGAAATGAAGTTAAATAGGATATGATTAGTTTTCAATCAATTAACAACAACTCATGAAATTAAAATTAAAAGGGCCTAACTATACTATTATAGCATTTAAAGTAGGTATAGCTCTTATCAATAATGGTATTTTGGAGCATCTGTTGGTTGGCATACATTAAAAATATTATTAAGGTCACTTTTTCGGTTTTACAACGAAATTAAGTAAGATTTAAGTAATTTACAATACAAACCAAAAGAGAAATACTTTTGACTTGAAGGGTTTGGACTGACTGACGTCGTTTTCGTACGTTTTGTGATAAGAGAATTTTATTGTTTCGCCATTTTAGGTTCATGAACCAACTTTCCGAGTAAACCATTTTTCAAGGTGTTACAATCTGTAAATACCATACCTGAATCCAGCCCCCAAAGCAGCTGTCAAACAAATTTTTAAAACATTCTCCTAAAAACATAGCTGTTGTCAACCAACTCTTAAACACTTTAACTTTTCGTAGAAAAATAAATATTTTGACAGAACTTTAGGGAACTGTTCTTTGGATTAAGTTATATAAACTTGGCTTAGGATAAAACACCAAACATTTTTTAAACCTTATATCGCTACTAATAAAATTCTTGATTTTAAAGATTTTTATAGTTCAATTTTTCAAGAAAGTGGGAAAACCCTTACCGAATACTTTTGAAAGAGGTTTCTCTTTTGAATAATAAAAACTAATTTACTTTTATATAAGTAGGTACAGGATCCGTGGATATGAATAAAACAGCTAAGTTAAAAAAAAGGTAGAAGACCAAACATAGTTTTAGAGGTGTTAGTCAGGGGTATTTCTCTCAAGCCTATAAATGCACTAGACTAAGACTAGCGATGGAAATTAAATTAAGAATAATCTGTAGTAAGTACTTTTCAAAGTAAATGTACAATACAATGTCCTAACGGATAAAATAAACATAGTTTGTTTATCAGTCAATATTCTTTCGTTTGACGTTGATTGCCAAAAACAATCGATTGTTCTACCAAATATTCACCGTATCTTAAAAGCCCTTCAAAAGTGAGGATGTCAAAATGTCGAAAGCTTAAAAATCACTGACAGTTTCATTGAAGTGTCGATCTTCTAGAGTGAATCGACATTTTAAAAGTTGCAGAGGTGATGAGTTCAAAAGTTTACTCACAATTAATTAGTTTGGATGTATTTATTATCTAACCACTAGAATTTACTAACCTTTACAATGGACACAATGAATACGATATAACTAACTTGTAGCTTGTAAACTTGTTAAATATAAGAAACTTAATTAAATTGTTTTATGATCATCTTATGCGTTTAAGTTTTCTATTGACCAAATATATGGCTTTAAATCTAAGTTTGTACCTATTTTACCATTAATAAAGAGAATATTACTATACTTAAATTGTCTTTAACCCCTTACACCAAATTGAATAAAATTAGTTATTGATTTAGTGGTAAAAATGTACTAACGTTTTCAAAATTAAATTACATTTTTTAAATACTTAAAATGTATTTTATTATGTTGATAAAGTTTAAAATATGTTACTATGCACTTAATAGGTACCTATTTTCAGAGAATAAGTCTTCATTAACTAAGAACAATCGAAAAAGTGTAAGTTTCTTTCAATACTTTATGTACGTATTGAAAAAAAAACCAAAATATTCCTATTGATAGATTTCCTATGAATTTACTGTTAAAGCAAATAATAACGTACTTCAAATACGAAAGCTTCAACTTTGAATTAAAAAAAGTATTTATTTGAGTCATGTATTGCAAATGCTTTATTTTAAGTGTCCTAAAGTAGTATTGTGCTTAACTGTGCATACAAAATAAAACTAACAAAGTTTTGTGAAAGAAGAACAAGTACTTTAATCTAAAATGCAATCTTTATGTGCTAAGAGTAGGTCTAACAATAGGATAACATACATGAGATGTCAAATATAAATTAATTATTTTATTAATGACCAGACAGGTTTAAAACAAAAATAAAACAACCAAATGTGTAGGAGCTAGATTAATTAGTTAATTAACTAGGTAATTGAATGGCTACAGTTTAGATACCCACTTCAACCACTGGACAGATGTTATTGTTGGCCAGATCAATCACACACCTATCATTGTAGTAATTTGAAATATTGAAACTCGAGTCAATTGTTTATGCAACCATTTGCCTATATGATTAATTAAATCTATTATTGTAAGTGAGCTATGGTCCTATGGTTTACATATTTATCAGTAATATGTTAGCAATCAATGCATGTTATTATAACATGTGCTGGGTCAGCAATAACATTATTACGTTGATCGTCAACATATGATGTACCTATGTCTGTAAATCCTTCTATTGATCAAAAACTAATGGCCAAATCAAACTGGACTTCAGGGTCTGACCTGACTTTAAAGTTTCAGCGCTTTGAAAAGTAAATAAATATGGAAACAAACAGAATGCACATTCAATGTTTACATCTGATTTTTACACATAAATTCATTCGATATTTAGCTAACTTTGTATATTTTTATTTTACCAAACAAGTTATTAAATAAGCTAATCGTCTTGAAAAATAAGTTGTTTAACTAAGATTCTATGATCGATGGGGATGTGGGAATTGTTTAACTCGCAGTTTTAAACACTTTGTTTTTTTTAGTCAGGATAAAGTTACTAATATTTTAAGCAACATTAAAACTAATCTGGACAGAAATTAAGTATTTTTAAAAAGCAACATTTTAGTTAGCGTTCAGACAACACCCCCTTGTATTGTTACTGAAGTTGTATTCAAACTGTAAATATTTAAACAGTTATCCGGGTCTGGATAAAAAAGTAACCAATGCCAACCCAGTTCCTACAATAGTGGATCTTATTGTAAAATAAGTTATATCCAATGGAACAATAGTGGACCCACTGTTCCCTGCGAATGTTTATGAGTTAGGTCGATTGTAGTGGAAAGTAAAATTAAATTAAACACTCTCAATAAACCTTTAAAACCAAAACAATACATGTGGGGTTCTGCACTAATTTTCAATTACTCAAGACATTTAGAATAAATACTAAACAAAACAGTATCATTCACAGTTATAGACTCCAGTTCAAATTGCAGTTTTAGGAAACAATATTCACCTTTGTGACCTATAAATGAAGAAGTTGAAAAATATTTTTTTACTCTTGTATTTATTTACTTAATTTGCATGATAAAAAACCAATAATAAATGCTTCCTTTAATTTTGCCACCACCCCTTAAAGTTTAATAAAGACGAAGAGTGGACGGGTTAAAAGACTAATTCATCCTTCAAAATTATCAGACTCTGTTTGGCAGGCTTGAAGTTGGAAACTAATAGTTTATAAAACTAACAACTATCTCGCTTTTAGAATATTTTTAGCCTTAAATATTAATAATCGTGTCAAGTAATTATTTTGTAATTATTTATAATAAGTCATAATTTTGGAAAAAAAGTAGAGTGGCATTTAGTACTTTTTCTAAGTGTAACCATCGATATGTAACGTAGTTAAATATCGATGAGTGTAATGTGCCTGCTTGGGGGGATTTAACCCGGGGCATTGGTAAATTTTAAATTCATCTTATTTAATTAAGCTTAACGTGAAAATTCTAATATGATTTAAGGTTTGATCCAGTTATGTGTGCATGTTAAATAAAAATATGTTCTCAAGCGGAAAATAGACATAGATAGATATTAACCAAAATAATAGTGAACTATGCCGAATATAATAGGTATCAGCAAAAATAAATAACAAAAGAACCACCTAATTATTTATTTGTGTATTGGGTCCGTCTAGGATCTCTGTGCCAGGCAAAAAGGTTCGTTCCACGTTATTTTTAACTCATTTTTAAAGTGCTCGAAACCCCCATTTCATAAAAGCGTTTGACAAATCGTAGGTGTAAAATCTGCTCATGTGTACAATAGTGAGAAACTTTTGAAAACACAACATCGTTTGCTAATCACAATCAAACTAAGCCGACCAATAAGAATTTATATTTATCCATCATTGCCCCCAGGATTGATTATTGAAAATATAAATAGGTTAATATACCTTACGTCGTCAATCCTAAAATTAGTCTATGGCGACTAGTT